CGACTGGCTCCCTTTCGCCCACGCGTTGGTGGCTGAGCCGCGCTGAGCTGCGCTGAGCGGCGCTGAGCGCGGCTGAGCGGGGCTGAGCTGAGCGGCGCGGTGTGTTGCGGTGCGGCCGGCCAGCCGGCCAAAGGCGGGACTCGCTTTTGTGGTCTGCCGGAGAGATTGCCTCGGCCTCTCGGGGTCGAGGGAGGGGGAGGGTTGGAGGAAGCAGGGGGGTGAAGTTCAGCCTCACTGCCTACTCCCGCTACTCTCGCCGCGTCCGCCGCCCTCTATATTTTATTCTCCCCAGTCGGACTTCTCCCTCCCTCCCTCCCTCCCTCCCTCCCTCCCTCCCGCTCTAAGGCGAGCAGAGCCATCCTGTTCCTTTTACCCGTCTTTTGGTAGTAGTCGTAGTACCTCTGCTCTTGTCAGATTGCTTTTTTCGCAATGTGCGTCGCACTTGCTCTAGAGGGTAGGTCCGTTATTCACGCCTTCTTCCTCTAAATCTCCTTTATAAGGGAGGAGCGTTGATTTTAAGTTAAACATTCAGCACCAACCTCGGTGTCAGGGCTCAGTGTCTCAGCAGCAACTACATATGTTCGTCAGAAATTACTCTGAAACGAAAGTCAGTCGTTCAACACTTCTTAGTGTTTCTGTGCAAGTTGGGCACTTAAGTGTCAAACTCGGTGGTTGCACTTACGTGAGTGCTTACCTCGGTATAGTTGTGCGCTTATAGGATATTCAAGTCTTTTATTGAACCAGTTGAACACTACTTATCGGTGATGACGCTAATAATGCAAGAATAACTGGGTTCGACTGTCATCAGTGTGAGCCTCTCTCCGCATAGGAAACCCTGCGGCGCCCTCCGCTGAAGCAAGCAGCGGATATTGGAGAAAGAGCCATCAGCGCACCATCGCCTTCTATCTCTCTCCCTCTCTCTCTCTGTCGCTCGCTCGCTCTCGGCCTTGTTGGCGTGTGTTGGCGCTTGAGGCGCCAGCTCGGAGTCTGCCTGCGCTTGCTAAGTATCTGCCGCGGCGGGCCCGGCAGTTACCGATGTCACGATGTCACGGCGCTGCGGGGCGCGGCGGGGCGTGGCGGGGCGTGGCGGGGCGT